ATTTATTTAACAGACAGAGATCACAGGTAGGCAGAGAGGCAGGCAGAGAGAGAGGAGGAAGCAGGCTACCCACCGAGCAGAGAGCCTGACGTGGGGCTCGATCCCAGGACCCTGAGATCATGACCTGAGCCGAAGGCAGACACCCAATGACTGAGCCACCCAGGAACCCCATACCTGGTAGTTTTCCAATGACATAGTAACATGGGGAGGAGATGTGAAATGAAATATTGATGCAAAATTGTAAAAAAAAAAAGTTGTGTATATATATATATATCTATATATATACACACACACAACATATATATATATATATGTATATATATATATGTTTTATATATATATGTTAAAAACTAGATAGAAATAGTTTAAAGAGAAACATGTCTGTTTGCCATTTGGGGAGGTAGAGTTGGCAACCGTGTGCACTTTTTTTTCCTTTCTGCTTTATTATAATTTATATACTTTCCAATTTGCTTAGAAACATTCCTTTTCCAGTTAGAAAAGTTTTTTAAGAAAGGACATTTAAGAGCATAGCCCTACATGCATGATCATATTTCTTGAAAATTGGAAAAGGGCCCTGTGAACCAGGTGAAACAGGGACTTAAGGGAAAAACCAGAACAAGTCTATGGGACTGGAGGGCCCATAAGCCCTCGGCAGAGGGGAGAGAAAGGCACATTGTGGGTCATTTCATTCTTCCTTTACAGAGTGGCCTCCAGCCACAGTTTGCTCCTATGAAAAGCCCCAGAGCAATCTGGACTGAGTGACAAAAATGGAAAAGCCTCGGGGATCCACCTGGCTGGAGCACACGGCCTTCATCTCCAGCCATGACGGCTCGTGTGGCTGCTCAGCTGGCCTCCTTTTGCCTTCTGTGCTACGCTCTTTCTTCCTTGTACGCTTCTTTCTTTTTGGTTCTTATTTGGGAGAAATGGCCTGAATGGGATTCCAGAGCCTCATTTCAAAACCCTGAAGACAAAACAGCATTCCAGGACCTTCGTGTTTGGTAAAACCCACTGCAGAAAGATGAAGTTGGTCAAACGATGTAAGAACATGTTCAGTCTTAACCCATTTTCCATTCCCTCTTTGTGATAAAACAACTGGGATTTTGTTCAGATTCCTTTCTGAAACAGGGGTGTGGCATCTCCCATTCCCTCCACCCCCTAACCCCTGTTCCCCCCCCTCCCGGGGGGGGGCGGCCTGACAGGAGGGGAACCATTTTATAGCCACTGGCCTGAGGAAATGCCCAGAGGGAGGGAGGGAGCAAAGGAAGGAGAAGGAGAATGAAGTTTCAAATTGTTGGTTCTTAAGTCTGTGCACTTAAACCATGGTTCTACCTCAGTGGTTCTCAGGCCTGGATGCACATTAGAATCACCTAGGGGCCCAGACCAACTAGATGAGCATCTCTGGGGGTAGGCCCTTGGCCCTGGCATTTTCCATATCTTCCTGGGCAATTCCACTATGCAGTCAGGTGGGAACCAGGGCCTAGCTGAGGTAAAAGAGAGAACAGCAGCTGAGTCAGGCCTGATTCATTTGCAACCAGGCGAGGTGACTCTTCCCCTCCTTATGTGACTTGTACCTAATATAATCGGCATAATGAAGTCTAATATCAGTAGAAGCTTGGAAAGGTTTTGTTTATTTGTTTGTTTCAATAAAAGTTATGTAACCAAACTTTTTCTTTTCCCCCACCTTATAAAAAAGCAACTGGGAATTCTCTCCATTGTTACAGATGATTGGGGAGAAGAAGGGGCCTCCCTCCACCCCTAGGCCCAAAACTCTAAATTGTGGCTCTCGACTTTGGCTGCCCAGTGGAATCATCTGGGAGCTTTAGAAACACTCATAACAGGCCTTACTCCCACAGATAGTAACGTAGTTGGTCTAGGGTATGGTCTGGACCTCAGGATTTTTTCAAGCTCCCCAGGCAATTCCAGTGGACAGCCAAATTGGATGTCACTAGGAAAACCTTCATGGTGGCTCTCAACTCTGGCTTCATCAGAATTCCTTTTGGCCTTTTCTTCAAAACACCCGTTTGCCAAGAGATTTTGATCTTGGGTAAGGCCCAAGGATCTGGATCAAGTGTTACTCTGCCTCCTAGCTGTACCTGGGCTGTTTGGGGCAAAGATCCACTATTCTCAGTGCTCACCAAGGCCATGACCTGGAGTCTCGCCTGCTAGGCAGCAACCGTGTGCCTCACTGGGCAAGTTTTTGTTCATGAGCATGTTGGGCTCCCTAATTTAGGGAGACTGAGATGTGAGTTTTTACAGCTGTGACACTGGGCGACAGAGACATTCTTGTTGACATGAAGACTTTCCCACCGGGCTAGGACCCCTGCCAATTTTGAGGCCACACTGGTCGTAAAGTGCCCAGCACACAAACGGGGAATGTTCCTCTGGAAGGAAGCATATGGAAAGTCAGCAGAAGGTGGTGACCCAGCCCAGAGGGTTTTCTTTCTTACTGAGTTAAGATGGCACTGTTTGGGGGAACCATGGTGACTTGCCACACCTACAGCAAGGATACCTCTTTACGGGGCAGTGAGCAATCCGACTTTCTTCTTGCAGCGAGGTTTGTGAGCTTGTCATGAAATCACTACCCCAGAGTGTCTTCCACACCGATCTGCATTACCCTAGAAAGGTAGCCTTCCTGGTTGAGATCGTTAGTTTTTAAAACCAGAAGCCCCCAGGCCCCCATTTCCTCATCTGTAAAGAAGGTAAACAGCCACCATGAGCTCACATGTGCCTGTGATTGTTGGAATTAAAAGAGATCAATTCATATACGAGTTTGGGAATAAATGGTATGTGCTATAATTAGAGCTTGGATGCAGCTCTTTTGTGTGGAATAGAATTTCTTGGAATCCCCAGTGTTGATGGGTTAAGTCCATAAGATTCACAGAACCAAGTGCCTGGGGAGATGTTAGAACCCTCCTCTCCCAGGGCCTGCAGGTCAGGATAGGAACGCTTCAGAAATGGGAGTGCTTACCCTTCTATAGCCTAGACCTTTCACAAACAAGCACACGGACCCTCACCACACTGCCCAGGGAGGAAGCAGCCCAGACACTGGGCTATGCAAGAACCCAGACTCTGGGCTGAGCAGACCTGAGTGTGAATTTCTCCTTTCCCTAGCAGGGCGGCACAGGTCAATGACTTGATTTTTCTGGGAAGGATTAAAAGGCAGAACGTATGTCAAATGTACAGTAACCCTCAACAGAAAAGCAAGGGTCTGAATTCAAACTAAAAAATACCTTTAAGTAAAGCATATAACAAGCGGGCTATGGGTTAAAAAGCCCCAGTGAAAGCCTCCCACTAAGCAGTGCTGAAGACAAGCCTGTGCCTCTGGAATCCCAGGTGAAACCTTAAGCAACAATTTTTGCAGCATCTCCTGTGTGTCCTAAATCTTAAACTATACTGTACCTGTTCCTTTCACATTAAAATGATTAAATTTTTTTAAAGATTTTATTTATTTATTTATTTATTTGACAGAGATCACAAGCAGAGGCAGGCAGAGAGAGAGTGAGGAGGAAGCAGGCTCCCTGCTAAGCAGAGAGCCCAATGCGGGGCTCGATCCCAGGACCCCGGGATCATGACCTGAGCCAAAGGCAGAGGCTTTAACCCACTGAACCACTCAGGCGCCCCTAAAATGATTAAATTTTTGTTAACATTAAGTGAAACCTATGCTCCGAAAAATACACTGTGTTTATCCCGTGGCCCCAAGTTATCCCTCTGGCATCTGGGGTCTGGCGGCCCAGGAGCACAGGCTTAGGGCAACCACAAATGTAATGCCCCTGACACAGGAGCAGACAACAGGGACCCTTAATCCCCTTTCCTTTCTCCTTGTTCTTCAAAGGCCTTTTAATCTAAATGTGAAGGTGACAGACTAGCTATTTCATCAAAAGGTAGACTCCTTAAAAAAAAAAAAAGTTTATCTAATCATTGCCATGTCTTGGGGGAAAAAACAAGAACTTTAAATCTAGTGTGTGATGTTTGGTACAAGGCTGCTCTTGGGGAAGTCCCTGTGGGAAGAGAGCTTCCCCACCTGAGAAGACAGTGGTGATCAAACATTTTCTTTACAATCACAAATTCATCCGGGCAGTGGGACCTATGCATAAGCGAAGTGTCTTCTGTTGCGCAAAATCATATGCTTGGAGGGGGGAGAATGCCTGCTTCAGAAAATGACCATCCCTTCCTTATGGCTGGAACCAGTCCTGGGGAACATCCTACAAGAACTACTTGTGGCGGCCCAGGATGGTGGGGGAGGAGGGGGCTGTGAGCAGCATCAGCCTTCTGAGGGAAGAGGGCTGTTAAGTGAAAGAGATTTTGGATATTAGTAATACCAGTAATATCACTTTGGTATAGGCAGTGACCTTCACAGGCCACAGGGCACGTTCAAGGGCATGACCTCTTTTGTGCCCTTACCCATCTCCAGTGGAACGAGGCCAAGTGTCACTGGAAATGAGAAGCTGACTGGTGGCTTCCCAGGTCCTGCATTTACCAGAAGGTGGCACCGGCCCCTACCTCAGGAGGAACACTGTGTGCTGCGTCCCTCCCCCCAGTAAATGCTCGTATAGCTAATTTGATGAAGGTGATCAAAAAGCAGACCACAGCCTGTGTCTGTTTTGGTGTGTTTTCTTTCTCTTATCATCTAATTCTGAATACATACGCTTAGTTTAAAATAACCTGGGTTTTTATGAACTGCCAAAATGAACTTGGTGTCCTAAACACATGTGCTGCCTTCTTTGTCCCCAGCATCTGACCTAGTGCATTACAGTGAGGTGCTTCCTCACATCAGCAAGCTGATTAGTGGCCCCTTGTCCTCCTACCAAGAGGTGCCCACATGGGGAAGGAGGAGTGAGTTTTCAGACACCTTGGCCTTGAGTTGCAGAGGCTGGAGGGGCCCCTTGGGACTTTCCCTACAGCTTTGGGACCCTCTGGCCCAGCCTTCCCTGGGGGCGGGGGAAGGTTGGGGGAACGAGAGCACTGTCAGAAGAACAAGCTGACGTTCCTTTCTTCCGCAGCTGCCATTCTGGGTACGTGGGTGCGCGGTGTGAGCATGCTGACCTCCTGGCCGTGGTGGCCGCCAGCCAGAAGAAGCAGGCCATCACCGCCTTGGTGGTGGTCTCCATCGTGGCCCTGGCTGTCCTCATCATCGCATGTGTGCTGATACAGTAAGTGTTTGTCACCCCTAAAGTCTGGGCTTCCTCCCCGAGCCATCAGTCCCATGGCCAGACGACAAGGCCGCCTGGGCATGGTTTATTGCTGTGGTGTCTGACTGGTGTCAGCAGAGCCGAGAGGAATTTCGGTCACGGCCACCTGCGGTCAAGGGCACCCATCCTGGGAGGGTCCCCAGTGGGGGCTCTGTACGCTGTTGGAAGCCAGGGGGGAAGCAAAGGTTCATCTGCTCTCTGCCCGCTGTTGGGTTTGGAGCCTCCAGAGTGACGATGGGGATGTGCGGGCATTCCAGAGCGAACTAGAAGTGACTCCCAGCTTCCTGTGGCAAGCGGCAGAGGTGTTTCCTCTCTGCCAAAGGCATTTTGCAAATCCCAGGGCCATGTCGGAGGTCTTGGTTGCTCTTTGGACAGGCTGATGGCAGCCCTTCCCCCTTCTCCACTCCTCTGCCCTGTCTCGTCTTCCAAAACTCATCTTGCATCTTCCAGAAAGCCTTCCTGAGCCCTAGCCCAAGGGAGACCCTTTTCTTGGGCTTATTTGCTTGCCCGTATCTCCCGACTGGACTGCTCCACAGACAGAGACTTCCCTAGTGCTACAGTCACAGCATCGGGGCAGATGTGGTCCCTGGAAATGTCTAGAGACCTCTAATTCACAGAGCAGGCCCTCTGAGAATGTATACAGAGTCGGTGATGCGTAAGGCATTCCCAGAAGAGCTAAAGGCTCCCAGTCAGCTTGGTGTAGATTCACTCAGGACGGAGACGGTGGGGGATGGGCCGTTCTGGTGAGGGCTGGAGGAAGCCGCTGTGTGTTAATGAAGGAGGCCAGACAGGAGCCCTCTGAGGCCGTCCGCGGTTTGGACAAATAATTAGCAGTCTCTGTCCTGTTTGGTTATTGGTTTGCCACTGTTGAGGCAACATACACACCTCTGGCTCTGGTGACAAACTGATGTCCCATAGAGCCCCACCCTGTTGACGGGAGCCGGCCCAAGCCAGCATTAAAGGGTGAGGGATGAGGTTGAACTGAGCCGGCCTTTCCTTCCTCTTCAAGCCGAACATGCTCCACTCCCACCTGTCTTGGAAAAGGTGGTGGACGAGCAGCCCTGGGTCGGGCTGGAACATAGCCCAGGTTCTGCCGTGCATGAGGTCAGTTCTTATGGTCGTCAGGCTGTATGTGCTCACCTGTCATGTCCACTGTCCTCTATTTCTGTGGCCAGGAGGGTCCCAGAGCCTCAGGGTGCCCCTGTGAGCTTCTCCAGAGGGATTTAAAAGCTAATCTTGATGCCTGGATGGCCTCTCTCATTCCCAGGGAGGCAGCCAATCTCACCTCCCCTCTTTTTTTTTTTTTTTTTTAAGATTTTATTTATTTATTTGACAGAGACCACAAGTAGACAGAGAGGCAGGCAGAGAGAGAAGAGGAAGCAGGCTCCCCACTGAGTAGAGAGCCCAACATGGGACTCAATCCCAGGATCCTGAGATCATGACCTGAGCTGAAGGCAGAGGCTTTAACCGACTGGGCCACCCAGGTGCCCCTCACCTCCCCTCTGTCTTTTCCCAGCCCATCCTTGCTAGAGACCAGTCCAGAATCCCTGAGCCAGACACTAAGCCCTTACCCCAGCCAGGCCGCTGGGTGCCTGTGCCTGGGGCCTTCCTGAGTTGGAGAGTTGGTTGGAACCAGCTTATCCTGTGTCAGAGGTACTTGGAGGCCTTGGTCACACTGCCCTGGAATGCTCCTTGCTAGGAAGTGGCTGGGATAAGCCCACTGCTAGCCAACTGCAAAAGACAACCTCTAGTGTTGGATGGATCTGGAATCAGGTCCTCTAGATCCCTCCAGATCTGGGACTCTGCAGCTCTGCAGGGCGCCATGCAGAGGCAGACTGCTCTGGCCATCCGGGACAGAAGTGTGTTGGGTAGGCTTTTTGGCTTTGAGCCTTTTTGGCTCTGCTGCCCAAAGGTTCGGGGGCCCTGGCGGCCTTCCCAGGATAGTGCCCAGAGAGAGGGGCTGGGGATCATGAAACGCCACCAGGCCCCAAGGGGGCAACACAGCAACAGGTTTGTTTTCTCTTTTGTTTCTGGGCCCATGTCCATGAGGAGACCCTGCCCAGCCCCAGTGAAGATGCACGGACTAGGCACAGGTCAAGGTTAGAATGAGGAGAAACAAAGTCCTCCGTGATATCCCATGCAAAAGAGCTCTAAGTGTCTCTGCATCATCAGTGTCTTCCTCAGTGCTTTCTTCTGCCCTTCTTTTGGGTTCCCTGGTTCTCTCTCCATGCGAACTCTGCACGCTGTTCATTCCCGTGCACAGAGTAGGGCAGGAGCACTCAGAACCCTGGGGCTCCAGGGCTCCAGGGCTCCGGGTAACACACGTTCACCAAGAGGTTGGGTTTGCCACAGCTAGAGAATGGTAGTCCACGAAAAGATTCAAAGCTGTGGCGATTTGCAACTCGTTCTTTCATTCTTCCCACGGGTCTGTTCAGCCCATCCTCGTTCCTTGCTTTGCTGCTGGCAAGGACCTGAGGGATGCTTCCCCCCACACACACCCTCACAGCCCCGCCAGCCCGCAGTGGCTGCCTTGTCCCAACGTTGACCACCCTTCTGAGGGCTTCCCCACCTGCTACATTGCCCCGAGAGCCAGGAGCAGAGCTGTGCTCGAAGAGCCGGTCCTTGAGGGCCGAACAGGTGCTGCAGGGTGCTCAGCCCCTGGCTATGTGCAGCTGGCCCTCTGGAGGCCCCGGTGGGAAGGTTGCTGCAGAGCCCAGAGCCACCCAGCAGGCTCTTCCCACGACCACTGCACCAGCTGGGCCCGCCTGCCCCAGGCTCCTGCCCAGCCCGTGTTCTCTGTCCGCAGCTGCTGCCAGGTCCGAAAACACTGTGAGTGGTGCCAGGCTCTCATCTGCCGGCATGAGAAGCCCAGCGCCCTGCTGAAGGGAAGGACTGCTTGCTGCCACTCCGAAACAGGTAAGGGGCTGTCGCAACGAGGGGCCTCTCTCCCTTGGGAGACACGAGTGGATGGAGAGGAGACCACCACCTTCTCCAGGGCAAGGCAGACGTTCTTAGAGGGTGATGCAGGAAGAGGGAGAAAAGGAAGAGGATGTTCATCCACCCCAAGTCAGGTTGAGTTTATCCTAAGGTACGTTTCACTCTTTTATCTTCATTGGTCTGTGTGGCCTCTGACAAGTTGGTTGGCCTCTCTGAGCCTCCGTTTTCTTATTTAAAAGTTGTGCACATTGGATGAGTGCTGATGTAAAGGACTGAGCAGAGCGTATCACAAACTGTAGACACAACTGATGTTCGCTCTCTTTCCCTTGAGCAAGTCCCTTCCCCTTTCCCATCGGTGAAATGAGGGATTTGGCCTACAGCTCTCAGACCACTGTTTAGCTCTGGGCTCTTGTGATCTTTAAGCTTACCATTGCTTCGTGAGTATTTTCACTGACATCCACGAATAATACTGGGCATCTGGAAATGGGACCAAACCTGCTTCTCAGGAGTCCTCACCTGGGCATAACCAGCTTGGGGCTCATGGAGGCAAATGGCTCCTTTATCCAGACAAGCCCTGGAGAGTCACACATCAACAAGATTTTCTGAAATGCTCTTGTGACCAGTCAAGCCCATCAAAAAACCTGAAGTTCCTTTTCGGGAAGTAGTGGGACAGGAGACCGTCACCACAGGCTAATACCAAGGGTGACCTTCTCTAGTCAGCAGCTGCCATTCCAGAAGCTCACAGTTGCAGAGAGTAGGAAGAAGGGCGGCTGGGAAGCTAGAGCACCGACATGTCCATTAAACCTCTTGGCGATCTGCCCTGGCAGGAGTCGAAGGCCCAGGAGCACTTTATTTGTTCTTCAGGAGCCATAGTAATGGTGCGTGAGCGGTTCTTGTCAGCTAGGAGGCTCACAGCTCTTAAGGATGCTAATCCATTCATCCTTCTAACGGCCTTAAGAGGAGGAGGATTTGTGAGTGGTGCGGGTACACTGAGTCTGCCAAAGGTCTGCTTGGGTCCAACCATCAGTCCACGAGGGAGCTAGGATGAGAACCAGGGCCTCTGAAGGCCCCCACACCCCTCTCTCCTGCTGCCTCCAAGGACCATCCACTGAGCTAAGGAAGTTTTTAGATTGTTGTTTGGCACCAATAGAAAAACAGTTTAAATCTTTTCAGAAAATTTATAGTAGATTTTGTGCCATTTGTGCTCACCTCAGGAGAGCTATTTAAGGTAGAGGAAGTTTCTTATTAACGTTCCTTCTCTGCCCGCATTTGGGAGGACATTAGCTTTGAGCCGCAGAGAGGTCTGGCCTTCCAGAGACGGCCACTGAGACTGAAGGCTGCTCCCGGAGATGACGTGTACCTCTCCAGCTCCCCAGGAGCCACGGGAGGGAAAAGGGCAGGAGGATGTCCAGGCTGAGCTGGACTCTAGAGCTGCCCCCCGTGAGCCATAGAGAATGCCTCAGAGCCCCGCCCATTGAGGAACAAATGGGTCCAATCTTAGATGGCCTGAGGGGAAGCCCTTCTGCCACCAGAGTCCTGGACCAGCTCACGAGCTGCCCGCCAGGCCAACCCTTCCAGGGGAGCTGTCCCCACGCTGGGCGGACTCTCCTCACAGCACGCTGTATCCCCATTCTCTGCTACCGTGACTCGCTTCACATTCAGTCAGCCTTGCCTTTGGCCCCAGAAGCACAGTTTCAGAAGCTGCTGCCCCTGAGGTTGAACCAGAGGAATCTGGGCTTGGGCCTGTCTGCCCAAGAGAACCTGGTGACCTTGGCTGATGCACCTCCAAGTTTCTGCCCCGAGCTTGTTTTCCTAGCACAGCTGGGGGGCTGGCCCGCAGCACTTAACTTGTTTCTCCTTCCTTCCAGTGGTCTGAAGAGCCCAGAGGGAGTTTGGCCAGATAGACTGTGGCAGCCTGAGGGAGAAAGGACTTCTTCAGGACCAGCTGGCTTCCTACTCTGCCAGCAATCACCTGTGCAGCCTTTTTGTCTTTTGTGGGCCTTCCTTCACAACTCTGTCAAGAACTCTGTCTGCTTGGGGTTATTTGGTGTGACCTAGAGAAGAAATCAGTGGATCACGGTTTCAAGACTGGTCAAAAAAGAATTGCAAAGGGGTGGACTTCCTGTTGACCTCATAAGGTGTGTGCGTCTGCCGGCCTCGGAGCCCAGAGACGTGTTGTCGTCTTCTGCCAGTCACCGAGGCCAGGCTGTGTTTCTTTTCCATGGGCCCATGTCCCCACAACAGTATCCATCCTCCCCAACCCCAGAGATTGCTGTCGTTGAGTTTTTTCTCATCCGTTTATTGGAGAAGAAGGTGGAAAAAGGGTAACTATTGGTTACGGGAAGATATCAAATGTGAGAGGAGCCATGTATGTCTTCTGCCCACGAGCCCCTCGGCCAAGCCTGACATCTTCCACAGACACACGACGCCGAGGACCTTCCCAAGTCGTCGGCAGCCTCGGAGATCATTTCTTATTTATGAGATGGATGATGGTTTCATTTTTAATCTCTTAAGTCGGTATAAAAAGCATAAAACCTTTTCAGACTTCTACACGAATGATGTATGTAATGCTGGCTGAAAAGTTAGCTGACTGATTACAACCATCTGGCCCCTTTGCGACAGCTAAGGCTTGGTAAGAGCCCCCCGGGGGTGCAGAGTTGGAAACAGAGGAGGAGTTGCTGATGAGAGCAAAGACTGGGGCTCACAGGTCTTGCATTTAAGACACAAAGCAGGGAAAGGCCCTCAGATACATTCCAGTAGAAAAGCTAGCCAGTCCAGCAGCAAAGATTTGTAGCTTTGTGGGGAGAGAGGAAGAGAGTGCCTGTGTGTGCATCTCCTCAGGACGAACACAGGACTACCCAGCTCCACGATTAGACAGATTAACTTCCTAGTGTTCCTTCCATATGTTTAGAAATAGAGCACAAGTGGAGAGCCACGGGCCTTCCGGGCCACATCCACAAAAAGGGGGCTGGTCATTTACTTTCCATGTTGTTGTTCGGTTGATTTGTGGATTTATTTTTAAAAGGAGAAATTTAACCTTCCTATTTATTTTCTAGCATTAGGAGAAATGTCCCCGTGATTTTTTTTTTCTCTTTTCCATTCAGGATGCTGGTTTTATTAACAAAAACTCTAACAAGTCACCTCTACAGGGTGGGTCTTGCTTTCCCCTTAGAGAAGGAGAAATGTTTTCATGGGCCTCTGGTTATGTTCTGACCCACTGGGCTTGCCTATGGGAAACACTGGTTCCCTCCAGGTAAACAGCAGAGAGCTCAGCCCTAGAAATTTTTGTTAAAAACTGTAAACAGAATAACAGTGAAATAGTACGTGAAGTCCTTATGAAAGGGAACTCTTTATTCACTAATATTTGAAAAATGAAAAATCTCTACCTATTAGTGTGTCTGGCCCCACCCGTCACGAAAGAGACCTTTAAAATATATCAAGTTGGCTTAAAATTTCTACCAGATTATTTTGTCCTCCCCTATTCTTCTTCCCCAATCTGTCCATTTCGATGAATTTACTTGTTACAACTGAGACCATTATGTGACGCATGTCTTAGCTCTGGCACTCGGATTGGATGATGGAATGAAGCGGTGAAGGCAGAAACGGGCTCCACTTGCCTGCTGGCCCGCTAAGGAGGCATTTGACGCAGCTTCCAGGCTTAAGCTTCCTTTCTCCCGCCTGTCCTCCAGCCACGGGTAGGCACATGGAGGCCCACTTGTAGCATCTTGCTCAGAGACCTGTCCACTGACATGGGTTTGCAGACACCCCAATTTTCACTCCTTTCTCTCACCAGACCCTCCAGAAAGTCTGAGAGCCTGGCGAGAGAGACCAGTGGCATAGTGTGTCTTTAACTTCAGGTCACATTCTGACTCTAGGACAGTCTTTCCTTGGTCTTTTAGAGACTCTTTGAGGTCTGATTGCCTTTAGAGAATAGGAACCCATGTGAGATGTTTTGTGGGGCTTTCGTCACTGGAGGGAGGGCAGGACCCATGTTTGGTCTCCAGGAGTCCAAGAGCCTTTGCAGAGGTGTGAGAAGAGAGGGATGAGAGCCTTCTGGGTTCCCTGCAGGGACTTCACCTCAGTGTCCGTGAAGGCTCTGGTCCTCGGTGCCCCTTTCCTCGCGCCTGTGCAATCACTCCGTGAACTGTGCGGGGAACGAGCAGCGTGCCTCCCTGTGCATGGCTCCTGAGGCAGTTCTCGGCAAACCAGCAGGTCTGAAAAGAGTTAGAAACAGAGGCTGGGTGAAGGCAGGCCTGGATGGACCTTTGTCCGTGCTCAGGAGAGGAGAACCTTGCTTCTTTGTGGTTTCTCTTTAAAAATCAGATGACCAGCAAGCATTGGATTCCTGGGCCATTTCTTGGTATTGGTACATTTTGAGCTAGCTGTAAAAATATCCCCTTTTAAGGTTAAAAATGCATCTTCAAATCCATCTTTATGGGTTCCCTGTGTTTCCTTGGCCTCGAGAAAGCTGATGATATGACTAGGGATTCCTTCCTGAGGCCTTTCCTGGTCCGCAGCCGCACGCCTGGGAGTAGGAAGCAAAGCAGCTTCCGGTGTCCATCTCAGGAGAAGCGAAACACCCCCATTAAAAAAAGAAGAGGGGGTGCTTGCAAATATTTTATGGAGCCTCGATTCTCCCACTGCTCTGCAGTCTGTGATGTGTCTAAGCATACCGGCCAGAAACCTTTTCTTCTAGATGCAAAGATAGACAGCAGTCCACGCTTATCTGGAAGATGGTTCCGACACACCTGAAATCAAGCAAAATCTGAGCTTGGCCGTTTTGTTCCCACAGAGGAGGTGGGCACAGCGTCCCAGAGTCTATTTTCCTAAGAAGCAAGGAGGTGGGACTGACACCTCAGCCACCCATGCATCGGGGACGTAGGAGGAGGTGTGGTTCTAGAGCTTCCTGGGAATCTGTGCTCTGCAGGTGGAGAAGAAGGTGCCTCTTCAGCCCCATCTTCCAGGGCCGGGTTGTCTCACCGCACCTGGAGTCGCTTCTCCAGGCAATATCGGCAGAAACGGATCGACAAAGTCCCAGCACTACTCAGGAGACCCTGCCTGCCCTGTAGGGTCTGGGCTTTGGTTTCTCTCAACCTGCTTGGCCAAGGAAGGGGGAGGATTCAAAAGCCCAGCACCCAAGGGGACATCACCGAAGGAAGACGAACCCATACGTTTGTTCTCAGTGTGGGAACATGAGACCTTTCCTCTCCAGCCTCTGATTTTACCAGGCTCTCGGAAAGATCTAGTGGTGAACAACACACAGTACTGAAAAGCAGCCCCTCTTCCTAGGGTAGTAACTTACTGAAGTATTCAACTTTCCATTATCTTTATGATAACAAACCTGAGGCTTTTTTTTTTTTAGAACTTGTTACTCTGACTTCTGTATATGTTGCACTGAAAAGGTTAATATTTAATGTTTTAATTTATTTTGTGTGATAAGTTAATTTTGATTTCTGTAATGTGTTAATGTGATTAGCAGTTCTTTTCCTTAATATCGGAATTATACTTATTTAAAGAGTAGTGAGCAATATAAAATGTGGTTCTGTTTTTTTCAGTCATGTGCATTATTGTCCAGTTGTACCGTACCTTGTTTGGAAGGATGAAGGAATGAACTCTTTTTTTTTCCCCCCTAAATCGAGACTGGAGCTTTTCTTTCATGAGAGTAGCATGTTACTGAAAAGCAAATTAAGAATTTTCTCCACGCATATGAGTGATGAGGAAAAATTAGATGCTCCTTCGCAAAATGTGGGAATCCTCAAATTCACCAGAGTTGATCCCTGCCCACTTGAAGAAACCAAACCCTCCACAAAGATCCCAATACATTAGCCTTTCATCCGCTAGGTGTCTGACAATATGCTAAATGATGCAGATGAAAATATAAAACAGACAGTCCCCACCCCTGAAGGAACTGAGATCTGGCTGAGAGACTGACATGCAAAAACTAATTCTGGAACAGTTGCAGACAACACGCAAAGGAAGCCTGAATTATAAGGTAGAGAGCATGTGTGCATAGCTGTGGTTCTCCAGGTGTGCTCCCCAGACCAGCAGCCCCGTCTCAGGAATGCAAATCTTCAGGCCCCTCCCCCAGACTATTAAACTCCAGAGGTGTCCTACGCCCCCTCCACCTTCTAGGTGCTTCCAATACATGCTCTAGTCAGAGAACCACTGTAATCTAGGACTCAGCAAAAGACACGTTAGTGGTGGGGGCGGAGACGCAGCTTTTAGGAAAAGCTTTATAGAGGCTTTGCAGAGCAAGTGAAACAACTGCAGCTTGCCCCTTAGGTGTTCAGAGTTAATGGACATGAGGATGTATAAGGCCTGCATTTATTTGGAATTTCTCTGCTTAGCCTAGTGGAAAAGAAACAACAGACCTGTCCACACCCACCCCATCCCACCCCACCCTCAGTCACTCACCCCGCTCCCTGCTGCCCAGTTTCTCACTGTAGGGAACTTTCTACAGCTGTCAGCCCAGTTCTTACAAGCCTCGCTGCCCTTGAATCCCCATGGCTAAGCCCCCTGCCCTTCTAACCCATGTGCGGATCTCACATGTGCAACCTAGGAGGAGCTCATGCAGATGCAGCAGAGAGCAAAATAGTGGCAGGACAGCATGAGCTCTTGGTCCCCAGGGATGCTCAGCTTCCAGAGCAGGGCAAGCCTGTAGAACCTGTTGTCCAAGCTCCAGAGGGCTTGGCATCTACCTGACCTGCAGGAAGATGAAAACCTAGGCAATTCCTTGTCCCAAGTGCACTGGCCTGGCAGCTGTCCCCCAACAGAGCCTTTACCCACCTCTTGGGAGAAGGAGGGAGAGACCTGCTCCCCATACTTGGTGTTCCCTCCTGCCCCTTGACCCTATTCCTTCTCCAGGGACCTCTCCAGGCCTTGTTTCTAACCCATGGGATTTTTTTTCTTGTCCTGCTCCTTCTCCTCCCTGAGTTCCAAGCCCTCCTGCCAGGCCCCCCTCTGCTAGAGCCAGTATCAGGTGGCCGCTTCTGGATCTAGCCAGGTGCCCGGGGTGTTGCAGGCGGGACACTCCCTAGGAAAAAACGCCGATGAACTTTGAGTCAAGCCAGACCAATCTCCCCTCATTTATCCAGGCAACTTGTGGTTGCCAGCTTGATTCCATGGTCTGGACAGACGGGGCTCGACTTGTTGGATGTTGTTGGCCCAAATTTCACACCCCAGTTCTACCTGGTCCCTGCATTGCCCTGCCTCCTGCCTCTCCCCGTTTTGGGGGTGTGTGTGACCTCACCTTGCCTCCTGCCAACTCTGAGCTCTTTACCCAGCAGCCCCCCAGAATTCCAGCACCAGCATTCCCTCCTCCATCTTCTAAAACTCCTTTTCCACATTTGCTCTCTGCACTTGCTACTTGGGCAGGCCCTGAGGTTTCCGTCCCAGCCTTCCACCTTCAAAAATAGACAGCGATGTGTCTGTGGACACGCAACTGGGGCTAGCCACGCCTTTTCCACCAAGCCAGTGTCTCCCACCCTAGATTAGTCAAACTGTAGAATCCGTCGTCGGGGTGGCACTTGGCATCTGTTCAAAGTCTCTCCTGGAGATTCTGATCTAATCCCTGCTGCCTTCTAAACACACTATGCCCCAGGGAGCAGACAGCACAGGCGAGGTCTGATGTCTGGAGCTGCCAGTGCCTGGTCCCTACCCGGGGCATCCCCCAGCCCCTGCCCCCAGCCATGCGTCCATATCCCATATATCCAGAAGGTGGGAGCCCCTGGGAAGCATGGCCCCTTGGACCTCCTTTCAGTCAGGATCATCTAGGGCAGAGAAGTGAGAAAACTCCCCCTATGGAAACTGGAGCCTGTAAGGAGCACCATGCGACTAGCACTTGCCCAAGTGGGCAATGGCTTCTCAGGAACCAAATTTTGCAACTGAGAATGAAAACATGGTGACATTTATGCCGGAAGGGAAACAGGAAAGAGAGAAGGGAAAAGCAAAAATTTTTTTTAAAAAGGGGGTGGGGAGCCTCTCTCCAGGGACATTTACTCCAATGGAAGCTTCAGGCCCTGATGGACAGCTGTACAGGTGCCTTAGGACCACAGGCTGCCCTGTGCCATGAAGTCCTCCGGTGCAAGTCCCCATCCTGCAGGGGAGCCCCTCCCAGGAGGTCAGGGGAGTGGAGTTGAGAGCAGGACAAAGGAACAGCTTCACTACCTGGAGCTGGGCTGCCCTGCATGTTCCAGAAAGGGAATCCTCAGATCTGGAAATGTGACCTCCCCTAAGGGCTGTGCTGGAAGAAGCCAGCGTCATTTAAACCCTGCCCCATCAGAACAGAGGAAGTGGCATGACTCTCCCGCCTGTCTTTGGTCTCAAAGGAAACCCCTGCAACAGAGAGAACCAGAGTGCAAGGGTACCGGACCCCTGTGGTGGAAGGAGGCCCTGGGAGCAAAGACCCGGGTTGGTTGCAGGCCTGCTGCTTGCTGGCTGTGAGACCCTGGGGTGTTCCTGTGCCCCCAGTGCCCATCTGTCTCGCTCCTGCCTCTCTAGCTGAGGGAGTTGTTGAGATGAAGTTTACCCATTCCCACTTGCTCAGCCCAATTTTTGGAATAAAAAAAAAATCTAGTGTGATCCTAAATGCCACTAATATATCGTCCAGTTCAAAGGGGACTCTGCTCTCTGATCCTCTGCCGACCTTCAGTTCAAGCTAGAAGAAGGCACGGGGAGAGGGACACGTCATGAGAAATATTTCCAGAGACCCACTGGCAAATGGGGCCCCAATTATAGGGTCGTGCTCCCTGTTTGCGACCTTTAGACATGGTGAAGGACCCAGAGGAGTGAGGAACCTGCCCTTGGACATAGGATGTTGTGCAGTGTGGCTTCAAGAAGCAGAGCCAGAGGCAAAAGTGTTGATTTCTGCTCAGTAGAGGGTCTTTTTTCCAGAGCCGCCTCCTAGGCTAAGGGACTCTCTGACAACCAAAACCATTGAGGAGAGACCAGGTGACCACCAGTGCACAGCAGGTCCCCTGGTGGACTAGACCTTGTGCTGCAAAACCTCTGGGGTTCAGTCCACCTCCAGCACTCTAACCACAGCGTCCTGTCCAAGGGTCTGTGGGCTACAAGCACTCCAAGGATCCACTTCCTTTAGTCTTCTTCTGGAAGAATCTGTGAGCCCAGACTTGAGCCTCCATCCTGCCCTTGTCCTGCTGTGGGTCTTGTGGCCTTCCAGGGCTTCCTGGTAATGGAGGGCCATCTCGGGCCCTGCCTAACCCCCCTGCCCACCCACCCGCTGGTGTTTGAGCCTGTGGCTTCACCATCCTTAGGAGGGGCCCCATAGAGGGACCACAGCCCAAATGAGTCTCAGGAGAGGGCCTTTCCTGGCTCTCTCTATCCCTAAATGACTAGGTGTGCTGCTGACTTGCCCTCTCAGATCCACAGTCCACCCCGTGCCCCTGTGTACAACCCACCCAGGGCCCCTCTCACCCCATGGTTTCCGGTCTGGCCACTGAGTGGCCCCAGGGGAGAGCTGAGATGTTTCATCCCCACTCACTCCTTGCTGCACAGGATTCACACCCCAGGGCTGGGCCCTGAGCACACACTTCATTTACACCACTACCTCCCCTCGTCCCTTCTGCGCAGGGGCTGATGATGGCTCTCCATGGACACTCTGCCAGTCTTTCCCCCTGCTCGCTCTTTAATTTCCAAGAATGCTTAACCAGAGGCAAGAATTTCAAATGCTTCCAGGAGTGATGCTGGGACTGCTTGGTGGCAGCATGAACGGCAGAGTCAGGGATCTGGGGTGGGAGGCGGCCCTTGTGAAGAGCAGGAGGGCCCAGAGCTCTGCAGAAGGGAACGCCACGCCTCCCCTCCAGCTCCTGGACATCCAGCGCGGTGGCCAGGTTTTCTTTTTCTTTTTCTTTTTCTTTTTTTTCCATAAAACATCTCCACTTCTAAATGTGGTTCAAATGTCTAAACCACGCTGTGGCCCCACCAAAATCTGTCTACAGGTCAGCATCCGTCCGCAGCCTCCCCTCCCAAGCTGCCTGCTTGTCCCGGACTCTGCCGGGCTTTTTCCGGCTTCTCTGCCGGCACGGTTCTCCTTGCTGGAAATGCCTGTTTTCTGCTTCTCTGTCGGAGCACGCTTCTGTTCCTTCTAGAACAGAAGGCTCACACCTCACCTTCTTTCTGAGGCCTGCCCAGAGGCCCCATACAGAGCCCTCACGTTATGCGCACTTCTGTCCCGTAGCCTACCGCCGCCTCTGTCGACAAGTCCTCCCCTAGTTGTCCTGTGCCCCGGGTTGTGAGCTTCTCAAGGTCAAGAACCTCTGTCCTCTCTGTCTTTATACCCAAGCATTTAGCCTGATGTCTGAGACATGGAAGGTAATGCAGTAACAATTTGGGTAACAAAATCATAAGCTATATTGATGGACCCAGGTGTGCTTCCTGAAGCCCAGGATTGATGTCATATGGGATCGTTGGGTCCTGCTGGGCCAGGTGACTAAATGAAGGCACTTGGCATTGACTGGTATAGTCAGACGCCTCACAGGTCAAAAGGTCCTTGTGACCCTTCCTGCTTCCCTCTCTACCCTGCGAAGCTTTGCTTCTTGACAAAAATGCATTACATGTTCTGACCAGTGGTTTACCATGAACTTTGTCACAGCCCTGGTAGGTTTGACAGGAATATTTTGTTTTCCTCTTTTTCCTTCCACAGCTTTATTAGGGTATAATTAACATATAATATTATGTAAGTTTAAGGTGTATGGTGTGATAATTTGATACATGTATTTATTGCAAAATGATTACCACCATGAAGGTAGTTAATACCTCCATCCCCTCACATAATGACCATTCTTTGTGTGTGTAGTAAGAACATTGAAGATCTCATCCATGAGTAACTTTCCAGTATACGATACCCTACTGTTAACTATAGTCACCATGTTGTCTATCGGACCCCCAGTTCTTACTCCCCTTATAACTGGATGTTTGTACTTTTTGACCAACATATCCCCATCTCCGCCACCGCTGCTCTTTGCAACCACCACTCCACTCTGTGTTGCTCTGAGTTCAGCTTTTTTAGATTTCATATAGAAGAGAAATCGTATAATATTTACCTTTCCCTGTCTGACTTATTTCACTTAGCATAATTCTCTCAAGGCCCATCCACATTGTCTCAAACGTCTTTGGGCAACTTACCTGATAAGAGATAACCTGGCTCATTTGCCTACACAAAAATCAGTTTTCTAGTAACGAAAGTGATGATCTGAAGTTCACTCTGATTTGAGGAGGTGAAGACTGAATTCCGCGAATGAGCCCTCATCATGGAAGTTGTGAGAATGACATTACTCAGTTGTCTTTCTTAATTAACACTGATGGTGTAGATGAAGAACTATGAGGAGTTTTTAAGATCTGGCACTCTAAGACATCGGAGCACCAGAGCTCTATAAGTCTTCCTGTGATAGTCGCCCTCATTATTTTTTTTGTAACTGTGTGAACACTGTGTCTCTGTTTCAAAGTATCACAGTTGTTAACAGATACCTTTCATTATGAAAACTAAGTATCACCACCGGTAAAAGATTCAAAACTAAATTCTGCCATCACATCATTAGAAGGAAAGTAAGACCTATCTTTGAATTCTTGGTACAGAAGAAAATAAAATTGGAATTCATGTTCTACAAAAAAGGGAGTGAGGCACTATGAGAAAACAAAAATGTATAATTTTAAAATTTTCTTCTATTCAGTCCATATAACTCAAAACCCAAAAAACATATACCCCAATTTTAAAAATGGGCACAAGACAAAAAGAGCAGAGATTTCTCCCAAAAAGACATACAGATGGCTAACAGACACATGAAAGATACTCAACATCACTCACCGTCAGGGAAATGCAAATCAAAACCACAATGATATATAACCTCACACCTGTCAGAATGGCTAAAATCAAAAATACAAGAAACAACAGCGCTGGTGAGGATGGGGAGGGAAAGGAACCCTCCTGCACTGTTGGTGGGAATGCAAACTGGTGCAGCCACTCTGGAAAACAATATGGAGGTTCCTCAAAAGTTTGAAACTAGAACTACCACGTGATCCAGTAATTCTACTACTGGGTATTTACCCAAAGAATACGAAAATGCTAATTTGAAAAGATATATGTGCCCCTGTGTTTATTGCAGCATTATTTACAGTAGCCAAATTATGGGAGCAACCCAAATGTCCCTTGATTGATGAATGGATAAAGAAGAGGCGGTCCACATATACAATGGAATAGTACTGAGCCATAAAAAGGAAGGAAATCTTGCCATTTGCAACAACATGGATGGAGCTAGAGAGTATTATGCTAAGCAAAATAAGTCAGTCAGAAAAAGACAAATACCACATGATTGCACTTATATGTGGATTTAAGAAACAAAACAAATGAATAAAGAAAAAGAGGCAAACCCAAAAACAGACTCTTAACTCTATAGAGAACAAACCGATGGTCGTCAGAGGAGTGGTGAGGGGATGGTTGAAATAGATGATGGAGATTAAGGAGTGTACTTATGATGAGCACTGAGTAATGTATGGAATTGTTGAATCACTATATTGTACACCTGGAATTAATATAACACTGTATGTTAACCAAACTGGAATTTTTTAAAAAAACCTTTGAAAAAGTGTAAAAAAAATAGTCTATTTATAAAAATTGTTATATAATAAAATTTATGTTTTGTGTGTCTAAAATTTTTTTCTTCTATTCAGTTCTGTATTTAAAACATAATTGCTAATACCACATATATTTATGCCGCATTAGATGCTTCTCAGTTCAATAAAAATAAAATTTGATGATATTTAAGGCAGATTGGGGTGTCTGGGTGGCTTAGTTGGTTGGGTGACCAACTCTGCTCAGGTCATGATGTCAGGGTCGTGAGGTCCAGCCCCAGGTCAGGTTCCGTGCCTGAAACAGAATCTGCTTGAGATTCTCTCTCTCTGTCTCCCTCTCCCTCTGCCCCTCC